CTTTCCATCAACATCTCCCCCCCCCCATTATCTATAATCTTTTGGACCTGTGTTCACATCCACAATTACATTTGATTGCAAAAATCTTAGTTGGAAGTAAATCCTGTTTAAATCCATGAGACATAATGCTGCTCTCAAACTTCATTGCACCAATAAGAATTCATTTTAAAGGGAAGAAAAATATTATTGTGAGAGACTTTTAAAAATTCTTATTTTCTTCTAAACAGTGAGCTGGATTCATGGTCTGGCTTTTGCTACATGAGAGTCTTCCTCCACTGAAGGAAGACTTCCTCCATCAAAGGAACACTTTCCCTTAGCAGAAGAGAATTTTTGGATCCACCCCATATATCTTATTCCATGGGGCCAGAGATGGGGCAACATGCTGGGCCCTTAAAATCAGCAAAAAATCTGGAGATTTAATTCTCTTGAATATAATTACTATAGGAAAATATAGAAATCAATACTTTTTATGGGATTTAAATCCTGAAAAGATTTCTTATCTTCATTCATGGTAGTGCTAGTAGTACTAATGAGTTAATAAGAAATGTCAGGTTATATGAATAAACAATCTTTTACTACCTTTTGGCTGTGCAATTTAACTGCAGTAAATAAAATTTATTAAGTTTCTGGATGTAGATCATGCAGTTTTGGGTACTGCTGATCTACCAGCTTTTGTTTAGACTTGCATTAAGACTGGAATAGAAACATCTTGTTTTGAACTAACTTATTTTAATACCCCCTACTAAGATGACACTATAAATAAGTTTGGAGTCATGGATGAATAGTCATCCATGTACTATTTTCATTTGCACTTTTCCCCTTCAGGGTGAAAGTGATTCAAAATATTTAGAACATATACAAAATTAATTATATGTATAATGCAGAGAAGTCTGCTGTACTTGAATGTTTAGAGTTCAAAGCAAACTCATTAAACTTTGGCAAGCAGTGTGCCTCTTGGAGTAAAGTATGCGTGCTTTCTCTTATACGTTCTTTTTCTCCTGAAAGGGCTTGCATGCCCTTTCAGGAGAAAAAGGTTGCATAAGAGAAAATATGCATGATGGCTGGGGTTTTTTTTGGGTACAATTATGGGTTTATATGAAGAAATAGTGTGAACATGTCTGTACATGAAAAGAGCTAAATATTTGTTTTTCAAAGCTACCGTTTTATCACAAAGTGATTGTGTAAATTAATTTCAAATATGCACCAAATTATAAGACAGACAATATCAAAAGCCCTCTGCTTCTACAAGAAGAAATAAATTTATCTGCAGCAGAAGTGTACAATAATATCCATTAACTGTCAACTGAACAACACAAATTAGCAACAGATTAAATTAAAAGCCATGTCAGACCACACGGGTCTTATGATGAACCAGGAAAGACAATGCAAAGCAAACCACATGGGAAAAGCAGTGTCACGGTAGAGCATGACCACTGACAAAGCCCCCTTCAATGTAGCTACCTGTTGAGGTTCAGAGCGTAGGGGAACATGGAGCCAAGCCTGTCTAGATTATCTCAGTGACTGGATGGGTTGATGCTGGAATTAGTGGTCCTGGATTTACCCTGGTTTCAAACTGGTCAGAACTGTAATAGTCAGAGCCCAGGACCCTGAATTGAGCCCAGAAACAGACTTGAAGCCAGTGAAGGCTTAGTAGTAACGCAGGCGTGATGGGTTCAGACTAGCTAGTTCCTGATCAAAAATGGAAAAGCTGCATTTTGAGCAAGTTGATGTTTCCAAGAACTTTCTGAAGGGAGTCCCATGTACAAAGTTTATAACCAGGGGTCATTTCGTAGAAAAAGAGGTGCAGGAGCTCATTAGTATAACTCATTAGCATAACTTATTTGCATATTCCACACCCCCTGACATCACCGGAAGTGTGTCAGAAGGCAACACCCACGGCTCAGGCTCCACTGGATTGTTTTGGATTACTAGCTATTGGGGGGGTGGGGTGGAACATGCAGATCTGTCCTTGCAGAGGAGGGAGAGCTTGTACCTGAATAAAACTTGGTCTTAAAGGTGCCACTGGACTGTTTTGTTCCGGGGGGAGCTTTGCAACTTACCTGGCTGCTTCTTGCTCTGACTGAGGGCTGCTGGGAGCAGGGGGTGGGGCTTGTTGCATGTGCCCGCCCCCTGGGCTCTTTACTGCCGAAGCTCTGCTCCTGTGCACTCCTGCAGGAAATGACCCCTGTTTATAACTATATGCCAGCTAGAAGATTGACTTAAAAGGTGAATACACCTGAAATGGGACTGGATATAGTTCCATTACTTAGAATGTACCAACCAATGGACTTGCTGTTGGTTTTAGCTAGGAACATTTTGGTTCTTGCTGACTTTTTTCATATGATCCCAGATCTGGGAACAGTATGGATTGATTGTATGCAGGGAAGCAGTTGAACTGCATAAGTGAACTGTAACTTCTCAGCCATTTCTGATAAGTTAACTTCTGAGCCTGCCACAATGGGGAGGGCGGAGTAGAAATGAAATAAATAAATAAAATAAATTTATATAACCCTTTTGGTTTATAATTTATATCCTGTGAACACTGTGCTACTGATATCAGGGAATGAAATTCCTAAATTTAATCATATTCAATACAATTTAAGAAGAATGTAGATGGTACTCATAGTTTTCCTGCAACTGAAGATAAGGTGTATAAACTTCTATAATAGTGGTGTGGGAGACAAATCCTGTTGTTCATCAGGTGTTTTTCAACAGACTTCAGTTTGTGTGATTTTTAAAGTTTGGAGTTACAGGTGTAGGTATTTTTTTTAAAACCCTTTTAATGGCGAGACATGAAATTGCTCAAACTGGCAGTGGAAGAAAATGCCTGTTGCCTAGGAACACTGCACACACAATATAGTCCATTATTCGTATGTAATTTATGATGGACTCGCTTGCTGTCTTCAGTATTCTTAACCATTCATTCATTGATTTCTCCCCAGCTGTTGTGTTAAATCAGTACTGGAGTGGTCTGTTATATGGAACTGCACATCACAGCTGGTGTATGTTAGTGCAGTGTCTGTATTGGGATGTAGGAAATGATGGTATGGGGAAGTTTATGGATGGAAGAAAGGGCTCGGAGCTGGCTCCACTGATAAGTTTTATATCTGTTATATGGTTGCCAAATGCCTGTAAAGAATGTTGAGCTATGTTCTTAAATTTGATTAAAAAGAGGAAGCTCCTATTAAATATTGGCTGTGTCCAGATTGGCCCTTGGTAATTTCCTTGTGACGTTTGCCCAATTACAAAAGAATGAACCATAACTTTACCATAAGGGTGAGACCTGCACTGGTAGCAGGAGCTCCTTTGCATATTAGGCCACACACCCCTAGTGTAGCCAGTCCTCCAAGAGCTTACAGTAGCCCCAGTAAGAAGAGCTCTGTAAGCTCTTGGAGGATTGGCTACACTAGGGGGTGTAGCCTAATATGCAAAGGAGCTCCTGCTACCAGTAGAGCCCTGAATTTTAAAAGGTACAAGTGGAATCAGCCCACTGCCAGGAACATAAGAGCAGCCATGCTGGATCAGACCAATGATTAGTCCCCGTATCCCTTTTACATTTGGTGGGTCAACCAAATGCCCATGGAAAAAGACTACAAGAGCATGAAAGTGAAAGTCTCCCCTGTTGTTGCCGCTCAGGACTAGTGTTTAGTTAGAAGGCTATTGTCCGTGAACGTAGAGGCTCCAGGGTGAGACATTGTGGACAATAGTCATTGATGGACTGGTGCTCAGTTATCTAGTCTAATACTCTTTTTAAAGCCAACTTAACTAATGACTATTTCTACATCCCACTTATAGCACCCCCTCCTCAGAATCGCCTCTGGTCTTAAGTATAAGCCAAGTTCCCTGATGAGTGGCATAATGGCAGTGAGAGCACAAAGTAGCTTTCACTGATAGTCAGTGGCATGCTGTGAAGAGTGTGGGAAGCCTCCTTATGATGTGGGACTCGTAACTGGCTGTTGTATGCAGTTCAGTTGCCTTGCAGAGTGAACCTGACCACACAGAACAGATTTTCACTGGTACTATTTTGTCATAGTTGCGGTGGAGAACCAATTGGTTGTGAGGTTCAAAGCTAGCATTACTTATGATGCATGTTGCAAACCCTAATCTAATCATTCCTAACCGTTTGCATCTCACATAGCATGAGCAAGAGAACTAATTTTCAGTGGCTTGATTTGAATTGGTGGCTGTCCTGAAATTACCACGACCCGTCTGAATAAACAGGACAATACAGAAATACTCTGATGAAGGTTCACTTGCAACAGATTTGGCTGGCAATCTATCTGTATGTCATGTGTTTTAACTCCTTTTGCACTTTTTTGGATGCATTATATATTTGTACTGCCTAGTGTTTTGTATTTTTACAGTTGTTATTGATATGCTGAACATTGTTTGTAATTGTACGCTTATTATATATTTTTCTCATACTGTGGTTTTAGGTGGTGATTTCAGTTTAGACTTCACAATACACCCCTGGGTTTTTTACATACCTTCTTGTACTTTTGCACTTCATTTTTGCGTTCTTCAGAAGTGTTCTTTTTTTGTTTTCGTATTGCAAACCCTAACCTGATAATTTCTCTGAAAGTAAAGTGCATTTTGTAACTGTGAAACTGGCTTCTACAGATTTAATGTAGTTTTATGCAGTCCCAGTTGGCAGGTACAATTCAGAGAGCATTGTGTGAATCAACTGAAACTGCGATCCTGCAGACTCCTAATGGCATGCTTTATTATTACATTATCCACTAGATGGCACTGTGTAATTTCTTTAATGCTGCTGAATCCTCAAAAGCCCCTTTCAGTCACCATTTTCAGATGTTGTCATTCTCCCAATGATTATTGGGCTATATTTGTATGCTTCCCTTGCATATTGAGAACTATGAAAACTGATCGGTTTGGCACGTATTTGTTCAAAAATGTATAATCAAACAAAATACTTTTATTATGTACAAATAACAAACCTACTGGTAGTACACAAGAAAAAAAGTCTTTGAGATTTGGTAATATCACAGATCAGTGTAATCATGGTATATGCGCACTTCTGATTTTCTGATACTCTGAAGCGATCTAATGCTTTCACTCCTTGTTCGCATGTTTGACTTCCTGAACAGCCTCCGTGAAAATGATCTACACATAAAAAAATAGATAATTGGATCTAGGCACACGTTACACGCAGACAGGAAAAGAGTGACTTCCTTGCAGTAGTACAGGATTTTGTGTGCTGGATCGCTGAAAAATTTATCCAGATGGCCGAAAATAAAAGGTATTCTGCACAAGTGATACGGTACAAAGCAAGTAAAAAATACAGCTACAACTACCCTTATGCTTTGGTTGTGTTTCCGTTTGCGACTTGAAGCACTAATAAATTGCTTGCTTGATTTATGGATATATTTGGATATTTCAATATAACATCCTATTAGGACTGTCAGTACAATGATAAACATACTGTTGTTGACATACAGGACTGCTTCATGCCACTTTATTCCAAAAGGACTTTTAAGTTTTAAGCAGTCACCTATATTTTTCCTAGTTGGGTAACCATTTGTAAGGATCACGTTTGGCACTGCCAAAAATGTCATAACAATCCAAACGCATGCCGACAGAATCTTGGTAAAAGTAATGCTGTACATCCGGGAATCTCCAAATGGTTTCACCACTTTTAGATACCGATCAATGCTAATGAGTCCAAGAAATACAATTGTGGTGTACATGTTGGCATAAAACAGAACTGTTGTGTAACGGCATAGGAAGAAATTGAAGTGCCATGGCCCCATTCTTGAGTCCTGAATGATTTTAAATGGAAATGTCAGAGTCATTAGCAAGTCCGCAACCACAATGTTCTTAAGGTAAAAAATGAAGCTTGTCTTGTTTTGAATGTGGAAGAAAATCCATACTGCCAAGCCATTCAGCAAGATGCTTGCCAGGAAGATGACGAGGTAAAGCACAGGTAAAACAATAGTTGTAAACTCATTATTTGTAGAATTCCCAAGCAGACCTTGTGAATAATTGGTTGAAATACTGTTATCTTGGCCCAGTTGATGGTAATGATCTATGGAAATGATGGAAAGAAAGAATCTATTTATTTACTTATGTATTCATTCGATTTATACCCTGTCCTTCCCACCAATCTAAGTTGGTTAGCAATTGTAGCTTCTCACATGTTGCTCTCATGTAACTATGAGAACAATAATTCATAGTTACAGTGAAAATGGCCTCCACATGTTGTGTGGAAGAGCAAACAGAAGATTCACTTCTGCTTCTTCTGGTGCTTTCTGGAAACGTGTGAACTTTCCTAAAGCATCTTTTTAAATTCTTGGCTTGTGTGTATGTTACTGTGCTGGCTGTTTCAGTCATTAGATCGGGCCTAGTTATTTGCAGTGGGGTTATGAAAATGAGGAGGCATGGTTATGGTGAGACTTGAACACCTGCCATACAGCCTTGGAATGGCCTATCCTCATTAGTCATTCGAACCTACAATTGGCTTGGGTGGGACAAGGTATAGCAGGAGCAGACTTGAGTAGTTACTGCCTTTCTTTGGTCTGCTCTTAGGGCATTTAAAATTTTCCTCCCTCCTCATATTGCTGAATATGGTTATAAACTTGTCATGGATTTGGATTAGGTACTCTTTAATAGTCTCAGGCTGTATTTTTCCTGGTGCTCATCTTTTCTATTTACTTTCCCCAGGGTGGTTTTGCTGGGTGGCATTAATGTATTCTGCTAAGACTGGTGTAAATGGGGCTCAGCACCTATTAAGTTGTGAGGGGAGCTTCCTTTAAGAAAGACTTTAGTTCCAGTCTGTTTTGTGGTGGGTGCAGATTAAGAGAGGTCCAAAAAAATTGGTTGCAGGCAGAAGGAAATGGGAAACTCTCTTATTAGTTTTTTGTATTTACAAATTTGGAAACCCCCCCCCCCCCAAGAGGCTTGCTTATTTGAAGCAGTTTCTGCCATCACCTTGTAGCAACCGTACTGGTTTTTCAAGGACATTCTTCATCATAGCCTGTGTTTGTATGCTACAGAGTAGACAATGGCTTTAGAATTCTGCTTCAGCCATGAGGTGGCAAGGCATTTACTTTTAAAACTGAAGCAGTTGTAGCCAGCTGCATAAGTATACTGAGGGAAGCAGATGACTAAGTTCCTCTCTGCATGCAAAGGCTTGTTTGACAGTCCTGCAACGCTTAGTCAAAGACACAGAAGCATAATGATGATAAAATGTGGTTGGGACATTAAATATCTGCTGTTCATAATTCTTAAGAGCAGCTCAGCAGAATTATAAGGAAGTTGTGGAATTGTGGAGGTGTAAGGATGCCACAAGTCAAATCAAAAGTGTGAGACTGTGGACATTAAAATGCCCCAATATAATTATGCAGATTCTTTACCTCCCTCCATGTCTTTGGACAATGATTAAATCTCAGCTCTGTCGTGCAGTCCATGCTGCAACAGCATAGCATTGGTGAGGTAGCCATGGAATCTAGTCTTGACTCATGATCATAGCCAGTATCCATACTAAAGGCTGGCTGCCCCATTCCTTTAAAAAGAAAGGCCTTGGGACATCAGTTTTGAATTACACCATCCCTTCAGTCTTATGTTTCACAGGGCATATGGAATGTGTTGACTCTGCACCAGGTGATTAAGAAAACACTCCTAAGCAGGTCTACTCAGTATCTTACTGTACTCTGTTCCCAGGTAAGTGTTCTTAGGATTGCTCTGTAAATCTGTTAGCACTGATCTATAGGTCCTTGAATGTTGGAACAGACATTGTGCAAGGATCTGTGTGCCTGCTGGTGGGTAGGCCTGCTTGCTCTTGCTGGAAGTGGGGGGTGGACTCAGAATTCAGACCTCTAGTCCACAAACAAATGGTTGATGTCTGTTCAGATTGCCCATGTGCTTTTGGTCCAGCAACAAGCTTTAGAGTTCCAGATGCTGACCTAACAAATAGATATACATGCATAGTGCGTGAAGAAGACATAATCATCCTCACTTGGCCTGTATTTGAAGCTGGTTATAAGTACCCCATCGTTAGGGTTAAACATGGATGAAATTGGAGATGTAATGGACTGTGGTTAAGGATGGGGAAATTCGTGTAAGGTGAGGGATCGGACTGGGGAAGATATATGCAGTTCTATGGCTTTCACTAGTTTGCATCCATATAGGCCCTGATATATGAATCAGTTGTTAACAACAAGAACGTTGCTCCTTAGAGGAACATTCTCACAGTTATAGTGGTTAATGTGACAATAAAGGAGTGTGGAATCAACATCGCTTTGTGGCAATAGCCCTTCATAATAAATACGAATTAGTCATTTCGCTGCATTTTAAGGATTTCCTTGCCTGGATTAGGCACCCCTTCCTTCTGTTCTCATAATGAAAAGGAGTTTAAAGCATTGCTCAGAAGCATGATAACAACCACTAATGAGTTCAAGTAACCATTGTTTGCTCTTTGAAATGGTGGAGGGTTATTTTTCTCTTATTTAACTGTTAAATGTGCATGAATTGAGTATTGGTAGGAAAAAGGGGAGGCCGATGCAGATTAATTGGTCCTCTTAGTGCCTGGTTAGGGACAATGTCATAACCCATTCTTCATTAAAGGTAAAGGTTCCCTTGCTCGAAATCCAGTCGAATCCGACTCTAGGGTTGCGGTGCTCATCTCCGTTTCAAAGCCGAAGAGCCAGCGCTGTCCGAAGACGTTTCCGTGGTCATGTGGCCGGCATGACTAAACACCAAGGTGCACGGAACGCTGTTACCTTCCCACCGAAGTGGTACCTATTTATCTACTTGCAATTTCTTGCTTTCGAACTGCTAGGTTGGCAGGAGCCATTCTTCATTAGTGAACGTGAAATGATGCTTCAAAAGTGAAGACCAAAGACAAGGCAGAACCAAGTTTTTCAAAAATAACATTTACCTGAAAAGATGAGAGCTTTTTTTTACACATGTGCTGTCAAGAAAAAGAGGAGGAGGGATTTATACCCCACCCTTCACTACCCAATGGTGTCTCAGAGTGGCTTACAAACTCCTTTCCCTTCCCCTCCCCACAGACACCCTGTGAGGTGGGTGGGGCTGAGAGAGCTCTGACAGAAACTGCCCTTTTTCAAGGACAGCTGTGCCAGAGCTTGTGACTGACCCAAGGTCACATCAGCAGGTGCAAGTGGAGGAGTGGGGAATCAAACCCGGTTCTCCCAGATTAGAGTCCGCACACTTAACCACTACACCAAACTGGTTCTCCATAGTGTCATTGTTAGGTTTGTTCATTGTTTTGTGAAGACTGCAAGAGTTGCATAGGGGAGTGATTCAACTACCTGACGCCTTGCAACAAGACTTGTCCATGCACTAATGTCAAAAGCTCCAGTACCAATTATCAGGTGTTATGAATAAGATGCTGTCTGAACGTCAACTGACACAATGTGTGACAAGAGAGAAATGCGCTCTTGACAGCTTTACATCAATGCCTTAGACATTTCGGCATGACACCTGTCCGCCATGCCATTTTTGGTGCTTTATTGTGTCTAATGCTAGAAGCTGGGTTGCAGAACATGCACACCCTCTGGAATTTGCCCTCTGAAGCAATTGCTTCACATTGTGTCCTGGTACATCCAACCCCGCTGAAACTGGTAGCTAGTGGCAGGTAACTAATTAAAGGATTTATTGGCTGACTTCATATAACTGAACAATGCAATTATTATTTAGATGCTGTGTTCACCTTTTAAGGCCTTATTTTACTTACGTAGGATAATTCATGTTGGAACCTGGCAATTGGGCCACTGTTGTAAGCCGCCCTGAGCCCGTTTGGGGGGAGGGCGGGGTAAAATTGAATTAATAAAATAAAATAAATAAATAATCCAATTCAGTCATAGTTTAGGAAAGCTTTGTACATTAAAGCATGATACTTATAACTAAAGACCATATATGAAGTAAATATTAAGGTGTGGGCTTAGTGGATTTACCAGCAATGTTCTTTTTATACAGAATTAATGCTGATATTATGGGTTGCCACTCATAATTCTGAGAATTAGGGAAAAAGTTATATAATAGTCTTTCTGTGCTATCTATCATTAGAAAGCCAGATGTTTAAAACTGACTTGCTCTTAATAACGGTTAATGGTTAGAGTATTAAACAGGAGCAGAAATAATCAAATATGATTTTAACTTAGAGAAAAGGTTATTCACAAATAATATGGCTAAAAAAGTATGTACAACCATGTGACTGACTACATTTTCTCTATTGGGAATTCCAAATTAAAAAAAAATATTTACCTGAAAGCTTCACATATGACACATTGGACCCCATTATTATTGCTGATTTGCAGGACAAATGCTTTTCAGGAGACACGCTGGTGGCAATTGATATGGGGTGCATCATGGGTTGTAAAAGTTTTAATTTCTGAAAAATACAGGAAGTGGAGATATTTACAAATGATCAAAATAGGAGCATCTTTTAATACTGCGGGAGATTGCGGGACTCTTCACTGACAATGGAGGCCCAGGTGGCAGCCACTGCTAGGTCAGCCTTCTATCATCTAGGGTTGGCCCGGCAGTTGGTCCCCTATCTCAGCCGTGAGGACCTGGCCACGGTGATCCATGCGACGGTCACCTCGAGGTTGGATTACTGTAACGCTCTCTACTTGGGGCTGCCTTTGTCGCAAATCCGGAAGCTGCAGCTAGTGCAGAATGCTGCAGCTAGGCTGGTGATGGGTCTCTCGAGGAGGGACCACATCCGGCCGGTGCTGCAAGCGCTGCACTGGCTGCCTATAGCATACCGGATTCGCTTCAAAGTGCTGGTGCTTACCTTTAAAGCCCTGAATGGCCAGGGTCCAGCCTACCTGAGGGACCGCCTCTTCCCGTATGTTCCCCCGAGAGCGCTGCGATCTGGGAGCCTGGACCTTCTTCAGGTCCCAGGCCCCCGGGACATCAAGCTCACCCAAACCAAGGCCAGGGCTTTTTCGGTGGCGGCTCCTACCTGGTGGAATGAGCTCCCGGTGGAGATCCGGGCCCTGCGGGACCTCGCACAGTTCCGCAGGGCCTGCAAGACGGAGCTCTTCCGCCAGGCTTTCGAGTAGGAGCCGCCGCCACTGCCACGATACCATCATTGTGACCGATTTTTCCATCGACCTGGCCTTGGGTGGGGAGAGACGCTGCCCTAAAGAGGAACACCACTCAGGCGTCTCGAACTTGGATATCATCAGCCGAAAATGAGATTCGTCTATCTTGAGTCCTGTTAAAATGTACTGTAGAGCACCAATTTTAGTTCTTATTTATTAAGTTTTTAATGTAATGTATGTTTTTATTCTCGGCGTTTGCCGTCTGTTGCCGCCCTGAGCCAAATGGGTAAGGCGGGATACAAATCTCATAATAAATAAATAAATAAAATAAATACTTTGGCAAGAGAAGGAACAGAGGGTGATGGTGTCAACATATTCTACCGGTTACTTTCTAATTTTAGGACTAACAAAAACATGAACTCCTAAGATACAGGTTGGCCTTTCAGGAGTCTGAATGTGAAGAGTGGGTACTGGCTTCTCATGTACTTACAAGAAATTAAGTCCTGGCAATGTATTTAGATGATGTTATAGGGAGGCATTTTGTTTTTTATATACAGAGGTTAACTGTATGGGAAGGATTTATATCTCAGCCAAAAAAAGCTCTGTATAAATAACACAATCAAAGGCACTATGCTGAAGTGCAAAGGGACAAAGAATGTTTATATAACACAATGTGTACAAACAAATACAATATAGTATATACAAATACAATATAGTGTATACATATGACATACAACAACACAGAGTGTACAAAAGAAGCCGGCACACAGGACATAGGACGAAGAGACGAAGACTCCGGATTCCAATCTTTATTTTGTTGATACTTCTGTATGGTACAACTGAAGAAATATCAACGAAATGAAGATTGGAATCCGGAGTCTTCGTCTCTTCGTCCTATGTCCTGTGTGCCGGCTTCTTTTGTACACTCTGTGTTGTTGTATGTCATATGTATACACTATATTGTATTTGTTTGTACACATTGTGTTATATAAATATTCTTTGTTCCTTTGCACTTCAGCATAGTGCCTTTGATTGCGTTATTTATACAGTGCTTTTTTTGTTGTTATATACTATACTGTGTTATCACTTTTGTATTTCAAGGATTTATATTTAACAGCCCTAAAATGGGGAAAGCTTGCTATGGGCTGTTTTGTACAAGAAATGGCGTACAGAAATCCATTAATACCTGTGTGTTTCCTTATAGCTGTCTGTATTGTTTTTGTCAGAGCTATATTTTAATTCTCAGATGTTAGATTTCATGTCCATAATTTGCCAGCTTGCATCTGCCCTCAAATCTAACTCTGCCATTGGCCTTCAGTAACTGCTCCTTTTTGCCCCTGGACCATAAAACTAATTGTCTGTCTGTCTCCAGATAATTATAATTTATATAGTTCTCATGAGTATATGGCATGACATGAAAGAATGCAACAAAGACTGATTGTACCTTGTGGGCAGGTAAATATATGCATGTTTGTGTGAAAGAGAAAAGAAGGCCAATAGCTAACTCTTTCCAAGCTAACTTTCCTGACTTAGATATCAGATGTGATTATACCGTATATATATACTATATATAACTGTGTTTTGGATTGTATACCTGTTTTGGCTGTTAGCTCCTGATGACTATAAGTCATGCCTAGCATTCTTAGTTTGAGAGTTTCTTGAGCAAAGGTCTATTTTGAAAGATTAGTTACCTTTGTATGGGTCTGACAGTTGATTGAATTGTAAACTAGAGGGTGAAGTGAGTCAACAAATACCTACTTTTGGTAAGGTAACTCTTATGTCACCTCATCTTCATCCCAAAATAAGTGATCACATAGGTAATATTTGGGTGTAGTTCTTTGGTGTAGTTCTTAAGAAAACATAAGAACATAATGGAAGCCAATGTTGGATCAGGCCAATGGCCCATCTCGTCCAATACTCTGTCACACAGTGGCCAAAAATACCAGGTGCCATCAGGAGGTTCATCAGTTGGGCCAGGACACTAGGAGGTCACCTGTATGGTCCTTTAAGGATGTATTGTTGAAATACCTGGAGAGAAGTGATTAACTCAGGGTAAACATCATTCAGGTTTTAAGGAAGTATGTAATCCATTTCCCATGTTATTCAGTGTACAATGAACCTTGAGATAAGTCCTGCAGGGAGCTAAAGTGTAATAGCATCTAGTAATGGCTTCTGTGCTGAACACTTACCCATCTTGGCTCATTATTTCACACCAAAGGGGGTAGTTTGAACTCTTTAAATAAATGGCCTTATAGGCTCTCTTGAAGAAGTCCTCATTATCTCTTTATGATCTTAACCATTATCATCCATGCACAAACATTCAATTTTTAAATAAGGTGCTTGAATAAACGGTGGTTGTACAAGTCTAGGTATTCATGGTTGGAATAGATTATCTATACCCAATCCAATCCAGTTTCTGGTGAATGTTCATAATTCAAATTGCCTTGTTTGCCCTGACTTGACAGCCCTCTTCAGGCAAGAGATGGGAGGAGTATGACTCTGTTGATTCTCCTGGACATCTCGGGGATATTCAGAGCTGTCAAGCATGGTATCCTGTGCTGTCTGTCTGGGATTTGTGCTGAAAGCAATATGCTCCAATGATTGCATTCCTATTTAGTAGACCAGTTCCAGAAGATACTTATTTTGTTGTATGTTACTCTGGATTATAAATAAACTCATGAGGTTATGAACATAGAGTAAGAATTTTCCTTTAAACCCCCCCCCCCTTAAAACAGGGTATTTATTTGCAATCTCTCTATTTGCCTATTTGATTTCTTGGATTGGGTCTGTACCACATGTGACCTGCAAAGCTAGCCTCCACATGTGTGGAGTAAACCTCCTGCTTATGCAGCATCCCAGTGCAAAAGTAGGGGTTATGAAGCACCTGGAATACCATAAAAAATAGTTGGTGAAATTGAATGTGGGAAATGCTGTTCCGCACATATTCTCTTCAAGTTCAAGTTAGCCTTTATTGGCATAAATTGTCAATACAGATTATACGACTTAAGAGCAGATTGAAAACACACCTATTAAAAATACTATATCTCTAGATTGTACAATTTAAGAGCAGGTTAAAACACACCTATGAAAAGATTATGTCTCTGGGGTCCTGTGTACCCAAACTTTTATGTGGGATGGATATATGTTTAAAAGGCATACTAAATGACTCAAGAAGAAGTAGGGTGGTGTGTTGAAAGGACTGAAGAGAGCAAGTATAAATGTTTGGTATATTTGTATACATATACATTTGCCTGGTTGGCATGGTATCTCCCAGATTAATTTGGAAAGACAATTACATAACTTGTGGAGCTACTGAAGTGGATTGTGATGTGTCAAATGTAGGTGGAAAAGAAGATGATGTCTGTGTGATGTGGTTCTCTGGTTGCCCCAATCAGTATTGTGTTTGATGACTTCAATAATGAGGAACACTAAAGGATTATTCCATAATGAGCATAAGTACTATCAGTAAATTATGTTATAAACAAATGGAGTGAGGCCATGCAGGTTTCATTAATCAAAATCAGTTGGATAGCTACGGCAAACTCTTCACTGCTTGGACATTTTGACTCTGAACGATGTGAAAATTTGTACTCCCAGGTTGTTATAACAGCTCAGTTGTATTGCAGTCCCTGTGTTGTTTTAGGCTTCCTCTTTTGCCTCACACCTATGGTTCTGCCCTTTCTTTAACAATAGAGATTGGGTTAAGGTCAACATTAGTATTACCAGCACTGTCTGTCCTTTGGATGAAAGGAAGCAATTCACCACTGAAGAAAGGACTAACAGAAATGTTATAATCTTATATTAAAGTGTATTAAAGTTGGAAAACTGGAACACAGTTTATAACTTTATGAAAAGACAGGCAAAGTACTCT